ATTCTAAGAGTGCGATTCCTGTAAGTGGCGATCATAATAATGGTAAATATGTAAAAAGCCCCCTTGAGGCTGCCTTTGCCCTCTACTACACGCGTATGGCGAGTGCATCTTCGGGGCGCCTGGTTGTGAGTGGATAGCCGAGGAGCACGAGCGTCACCACCATCCCGCGAACTCCTCCATGCCGCCGGCGTTGAGGGGGACGCCAGATCTTGCATCACCGGATCTGGGAGAGAGGACCGAGGTCTTTGAGACAGCTGCCGGATCCCACCTCCTATCCGACATGTCACAGTTGTGTGCCGTTGGGCCACAAGCTGTAGACGTGAGGGGCAGGTGAGCGGCGGCGGCGGCGACGATGGGGGAAGAGGAAAGAAAAGGAGAGGAAGGAACAAGGGGATCTAGGTCTGGTGCTGGGGAGGAGGCGGTGGTGCCGTCCGCGAAATGGTCCATGGGGGCTTTTCTGTAAAAACGATGAGGATCTCGAATTTTCTCTTCTTTACGTTGGAATAAAGTTTAGATAAATGGTCTATACGTGAAATATCTGAACGTGGTACAGTAGATGACCGATTGAGTTGGACTGCGGGTTGATTATTAAAAAAATGAAAGGGCTTTTTTGCTAAGGCCCAGTTTAGATCCGAATTTTTTGCAAAATGCAACTGTAGCGCTTTTCGTTGTTATTTAGCAATTAGTGTCCAATCATAATCTAATTAGGCTTAAAAGATTCGTCTCGTAGATTTCGTCTAAATTGTATAATTAGTTTTATTTTTTATTTATATTTAATACTTCATGCATGCATCCAAAGATTTGATGTGACGAGGAATTTTGAAAAATTTGACAAAATGAAGTGGAACTAAACAGAGCCTAAACCTCTAGGAGCACGTGTCTGCAGACCAGGGCTCGCTGTGCCAGTGAAACGCGGAGAGAGCTTGAATCCACGGTACTAAGTTTTAAGGGCCCTGATGTCCTTGCTCTACGCGTCACCGACAAGCACGTACACCTGTAGCGTTGCCAAGGAAGTAAGGAACCCAACCATTACTCCTTTTCTCATATAAAAAAAGTGTCGGAGATTCATGTGGGTCAAATATTCTCAAGTTTTACTAGATTTGTAAAAAATATTATCACTATTTATATCTCTAAATAAGTTTACTATGAAAATGTATTCAACTAATGTACCACAAATATTAATATTTTCTTATATATTTAATCAAAGTTAAAATATGTTACTTTTTTAAGGTGAGAATGATACTTTTTATGGGACACATGGAGTACCTTTAGACACGCTATGCGTAGCTGTGTTCTGAGGGGAATTAAATCGAACAGGTTACCTGCACGTCACTGGTTTAGAGGACGCCCTTGATTTGCAGAAAGAACTCACACTAAGTAGATGTGATCCGGCAATCATTCAAGTATTGGTGTCTCATCCTAATTCGCAACTTATTCTTCATATAATTCATTATTGAAAATATTCTCTCTAAGGTAGCAACTGAGGTTTGACAAAACTGAGCAAAGTAAATGGGGGCTATGATTTTGATTAAGGAAGAAATTGAATTGGGCTATGATGGACGGTAACTGTGCTGGCGTGCACTGTTGCGCTGGCTGGATGGGCGGCGACGGCGAGCGGCGAGTGCCCTTGTGGACAGCGGGGCAGGTAGAGCTTACAACACTAGCCGCAACCCGTCTCGGTTTGGCAGACGGCGGCTCTGCATGTCGTTGAGGCTATGTTTAGTTTCACCAAATTTTTAACTTTGGCACTATATAAAAAGAAGATTTTCCGTCACATCAAACTTGCGGTATATGTATAGAGTATTAAATGTTGATGAAATCAAAAACTAATTACACAGTTTGGTTGTACTTTACGAGACGAACGTTTTGAGCCTAATTAGACAACGATTGAACAATTATTACTAAATAAAAACAAAACGCACTGTAGCCACAGTGATTTCTAAACACGGCCTGAGTCATGGCTCCATGCCCAGTACAGGACTCGGCCACTCAGGGTCAGGAGGCGCGATCATTAGGAGAAACGTGGGACTAGCCTGGGACGTCGGGTACGGTGGTGATGGTGGGCCAGTGAAAATTGGGTGGGTGCGATAAACAGATAGGCCATATAGGCTGGTTCGAATGAATAGACTAGTAATTTGAAACTTAACTATATTATAAATATGTAGTATATACCTACTAACTACTAATTTTTGAAGTACAGATTTTAATTCTAAAAGTATATATTTTCATCAGTTAATATATGTAGGTAGACGCATTAATTCAAAATACTCCATGCAACAATTTTTTAACGCACTTTTAACACTTTATATACGGGGATTTGTGGTGGTAGTACATTTAAATATTTAGGGCGAGGTACATTCATTTGAATCATTTCTTTCTTTTGCAAAGATACGAAACTAAAATATACTCGTTATACATATCTTTTAGCCGTGGCCAATTGGTGTGCGTCATGCCTCCTCGGCCAGTGGATAGCCGTGTCCCCGCCCACCGGTGGCTCGGCCCTCACGTCACGTCTTCTCGACGACGGGTCTCCGCTCCCAACACGGATGGCTAGAGGGAGATCCTATCTCGACAGGAGGCGTGGCCTGCAGAGCCTAGGAGCCTTGCCGCCAGCGGCCGCCGCAAGCCCGGAAGATCCCCGCAGAGCTTTGTGAAAGATGTTTCAACTGCCTGTCCTACTCACACCGAGTAGCGACTTGCCGGTTGTCACGTCGTTGTCTGCGCTGTCATGGCTTTCGCCACCTCGCTAGAGATTGCAAGGTGGCCTAGGTCTGCTGCGACGACGGCAACAAAGGGTGTCGACCTGCCACGGTACTCGGCTCGTGGCGACAGGCCACCAACCCCCGCATGCACCCCACGGTGGCCCACCAAGCTCAGACGGCCACACACAAGGTGCCGCGGAGGCGCCGACGTAATCCAGCGACGACGTTGGCGGCGCCGGAGTAAACCGGTGAGGGACGTCAGCTTAGGCATGTCTGCCGACTAGCACATTGCTCCCTCGAGCCATATCCACTGGTGTTTGAGCTGTGAGCGAGCACGGGGGCCTTACGCGTGGGTCGACCCCATGCTAGAGGAGCTCGACGCCTCACTCATCGTGAGCTGGCCAGTAAGTGCACCAGCGCCTAGGTGCCCGACTACTCCGGTGGTGCCTCCCAGGATGTTGAGGCGTCATTGGCGGACGCCCGTTCTCCGGCGAAGGCTTTCCACAGGACGATGGACTCGCCTCTGTTGTCGCCTGTGCAGCAACCACAAGTCACGCCACCATGGGAGGACAACATGGCGTCATGGATGTCGAGGTGCACCCAAAGCCCCCAAGGCGAGGACTCAGGCGCTCCTCCCCAGCCCATGAGTCCAGCACTGGCCAACGCCAACGTCGGGGCAGCCGCCCTGGACGACGCGACGACCGTGGCTGCGACGGACTACGTCAACCACACTCCTTCACCTCAAACGACCTCGGCCGACAGACGCCTCAAGTGCTTCATTAAGCGAGTCACAAGGCCGAGGCAGCCACCACTCCTAGAGCTGCCTGCTGATGATATGGCCCTCAGTAGACGTGCACCGCCATCGCTCTCCAAGCGATGTAGGCAGATAGCGGCGCAGAGCATAGCTCATATCTCTGCTGCCAAGCGAGGTGAGTACCTTGTCATGAAGCGCTTGGGGTTTTCCAGTGGAGGCCTTCTCCGTCTCCATCGACGTCGGCCAAGAAGGACGAAGAAATATTCAATGGTGACCCCGCTCATATGTAGGCGCTGCGTGAGTTGTTCCCAACGGATGGCGAGGTAGTCACGCGCAAGCAGCGTCGCCGCTCGGCTCACCGGGCATAGGCCCCCTTGCCAGCAGCGTAAATTTTGGTTGATCAATGTCCAATGGAATAGCCTAGCTTACAATACATCAGAGAGGGTCTGAGCGTCCATGTACAACTTTATTGAGCCCCTAGGACGCTGATAAGCTGTGTTGTATCTCTATACCTTAATACAAAAATGCGTAAACCTTTTGCGTGTTCGAGAAAAAAATTGTACACCATGGACAAAAAATACGTTTGAAATTTGAAAACTCTTACTCCCTTAGTTTCAAAATAAACGCATATCTCGTTTTTCAACATGTCAAACTTTTTAAAGTTCAACTAAATATATATAAAAAATATAAATATCTATGATATATAACAAGTATTATTAGATTGAACATTGAATATACTTTAATATTTTTAGAGATACAAATATTGATAATTTTTATATTTTAATTATTTTTTTAAAAAGAACTCCTCCAAAATTTTGGGTCAGAGGAGTACACAAAATACAAAAGAAACATACCATGCATAATAGACACCGTTGATGTGACTCAGCACCACGATTAACACATGTCGGACTACGATACCCACACTTGTGAAAGATTGAGCGTGTGTTTAGTGGAGGAAAGTTTGGAATTTGGGCCACTGCACTTTTCGTTTTATTTGACAATTAGTGTTTAATCATGAATTAATTAGACTCAAAACGTTCGTCTCGTAATTTCCAACCAAACTGTGTAATTAGTTTTTTTTCCGTCTACATTTAATAATCCATGCACGTATCGCAAGATTCGATGTGATGAATATTGTAGCGCTTTTTGGGAAAAAATTTTAGAACTAAACACGGCGTGAGGTTTCGTGTGCGCGGCCGATGATGTTTCAGTGGCCTGGCGCATGTGTTCCACGTGATGCACACTAATTTTCAATAATTGAACGCTGTTCGTTCTGTTTGATAAGAGGCTATATTATTTATTATATAAACTATTTTTAGAGACATCTTGCTTTTTGATAGAGGTGGCTCTATCAAAATCTATCTTTAAAAAATGTTTTTGAGTTAGCCCGACTCTAAAATTTAATTGAGTATGTTCGATTTGCAAAAGAAGAAAAAAAGTTCTCTATTTAAAGTGCTCACTCATCCCCGAAGGTTAACTACCCCCAAACCTTTTCGCCTTTGTTTCCAATTTTCCATACCCGCGCAAAAACACAGCAAGGCTCCATGAACAAGTTGGCATCCTGCTTCCTCCGGCACGGAGCACCATCCGCCCAAAGCTTCAAGTCCTACCATGTTCAGAGATCCCCTTCGCTGCACTCGCTTCAGAGACGATCCGTTTCCATGCCCCGAAGCCGCACTGCGGACCATGCTGCCACAGCCGCCAAAGCCACCATCGCCCCCCTTGTCAACACGCAAGGCGCCGACGTCACCGTCGTCAGTGGCACCAGCTTCGATTTCGAGCGCTACCTGTCGGCCAAAGCCAGGGCCGTGCACGACGCGCTGGACCTTGCCCTGCAGGGCCTGCCGTGCCCCGAGGTTCTGAGCGAGTCCATGCGCTACTCCGTCCTCGCGGGCGGCAAGCGCCTCCGCCCCGCGCTGGCGATCGCCGCGTGCGAGCTCGTGGGCGGGCCCGCGGCCGCGGTCGTCCCGGTGGCCTGCGCCGTCGAGATGATCCACACCGCGTCGCTCATCCACGACGACATGCCGTACATGGACGACGACGCGCTCCGCCGCGGCCAGCCCTCCAACCACGTCGCGTTCGGCGAGCCCACGGCGCTGCTTGCGGGCGACGCGCTCCTGGCGCTCGCGTTCGAGCACGTCGCCCGCGGCAGCGCGGGCGCCGGCGTCCCCGCGGACCGCGCGCTTCGAGCCGTCCTGGAGCTCGGGAGCGCAGCTGGCGTGGGCGGCATCGCCGCGGGGCAGGCCGCCGACATGGCGAGCGAGGGAGCCCCCTCCGGTTCCGTGAGCCTGGCCGCGCTGAATACATCCACGTGCACAAGACGGCGAGGCTCGTGGAGGCGGCGGCGGTGTCGGGCGCCGTCGTCGGCGGCGCGGGCGACGGCGAGGTCGAGCGCGTCCGTCGGTACGCGCACTTCTTGGGTCTCCTCCTCCAGGTGGTGGACGACGTGCTGGACGTGACGGCCACGTCGGAGCAGCTGGGGAAGACGGCGGGCAAGGACGCGGCCTCCGGCAAGACCACGTACCCGCGGCTGATGGGCTTGGAGGGGGCGCGCGCATACATGGGCGAGCTCCTGGCGAAGGCCGAGGCGGAGCTCGACGGGTTCGACGCCGCGCGCGCGGCGCCGCTGCGGCACCTCGCGCGGTTCATGGCGTACAGACAGCACTGACTGACGGCGATTTGGGGGACCGGCCGGCTCATCGGGAACACCCGAAAGTGATGCGTTGACTAGTTGTATCTGCACACATCTCATGGTCGAGCGATTACTTTTTTCTTTTTCTTTTTTGAGAAACTCTCCCCATTGTGTTCAAGTGTCAAGGGTTACAGCTCAATCTTTACTTAGAAGGCTAGGCATGTTTGGTTTCTAGCTCCACCTTCTGGTGTTTGTAACTCTTATTCTAGCCTCAAAACTTCTTCCTCTCGCCTTTACCTCCCTGCTGCCCATACCGTCGCCTGTGAGATTTTTGACAACGTTTGCATAATCGCATGCCAGCCTGAACCTCCGGATGAGAGGTCACTCGCTAAAGCCAGTCCTTCTCATATGCAAGAGATTCAACAATCTCAGCTTCAGTTATCCCTTTCAACACAAATGTTGATGCTCCCAAGAACGTCCTGCCTGCATCTCGTGCAACCGCCACCGTGCTCGAGTTCTTTGAGGTTGCCGCATCAACATTAATTTTTGCGTAACCCGCTAGAGGTGGGATCCACATCCAACTCAGACATAATTTTTTACAGTTTGGTCTCTTTTTTTAAGAAAATTTACGTTTGGCCTCCTGAGAGACGTAAACTCATCTTTGACCCTGGAGATTAGCGTCAGGACTCATGCCGCCGAGGTAACACGTCTCGGCACCACAGATTTTGGCTCCGAGGTGCCTGGCCATGCACAGCAGGGTATCCTAGGTGGCATTGACGTGGCCGGTACCTCAGCGCTAGAATACATGGTTCCGAGCTTGACGCTACAAATCTTGACGCCGACCTCGGAGCCATCAGATGATGTGCTGCGACGGAGGTGACGAGATGTGCAAGCGGTAGCAGGCCCACACACCGCTCTCCTCTCCTCTCCTCCCATCTGACACGGACGGCAGGTGCCTGCCAGCCACCACGCGCACGCTCGGTGCATGCTGCTTTTACCCCTACAGGTGGAGAGTTGTAGCGTCAAATCATCTAGTCCCTACTCGTCTTAAATTATCTCGCGCTTTAGGTTTTCGTGCTGCCAATTTAACAAAAACACGTGTAATATTTGTATCTTCAAATAAATTTATTAAAAAACTAGATTTAAAGATTTTTCCAACGATACCAATTATGTACCATAAATATTAATATTTTTAATATATATTTTGTCAAAGTTACTACCTCCGTCCCAAATTATAACACGTTTGACTTTTTTGACCTCAAGTTTAACCACTCGTCTTATTCAAAAAATTTGTGTAAATATAGTCAAATTTAAGTCATTTTTAAAGAACTTTTATTAATAAACCAAGCCATGACAAAAGAAGTGATATTTTGCACAAAATTTTGAATAAGACGAGTGGTTAAACTTGGTGTCAAAAAAGTCAAATGTCTTATAATTTGGGATGGATTGAGTATTTATCAGGAAACGAAAATGATAGATATTTTGAGACGGATGGAGTAACTGTTCATGGCTATTCATTCCGCATCTAGCCCCTACACCCGAATTTTTTACTTTTTGGCCCTTTTTCGAAAGTTTCTCTCAAATAGACCCCTGGCGGAAAGAATTTCCAGAAATGGACCCTTGGCTCGGCGCCAGAGTGAGTGGCGCCGAGCTCGGCGCCACGGTGACTGGCGCCGAGCTCCTGGCCACGGGCAAACGGCCTGCAAGGGGCTCGGCGCCAGAGCGGATGGCGCCGAGCTCGGCACCGTAGATCTTGGCGCCGAGCTCGGCGCCACTCACTCTGGCGCCGAGCTACCTGCATTTAACCCCCGCCCAGCCTTCTTCCCTGAGCGTTCTTCCTCTTCTTTCTCCTCGGGTTTTTTTCTCGCCACTTCATTCTACCTCACGAATCGACATATTGGACCTTGAAAACCTTGATTTGATTCGTAGATCTTCGAGAGCAAGGTATCCTCGCTCCCCTCCTTGTTTTTTTCGCATCGATTCGGTATATATTAGTCGAATTTTTGAACCTAAGAATCGTCATCACTTAGGGTTTCATTGTATCCCTCAATATATGTATTATACAACTGTAGGTTCATTTCAAGGCGTGAAAAATGCTAGCAAACCAAGCCGCATGTAGTTATGTTATGGGTTTTATTGTTGTGGATGAAATAAGAAACCCTAGGTTTAGGGTATAATGTTAACTGCTTTTGGTTCTTATAACGAAATTAATTGTATTGTAGTTATGGTTCTCACTGATATTTTGTTGTGATGTTTTTATTTATGTTTGCTAAATTACATCCTATTTGTTAGATGCAAGAAATGTTTCGGGAGGAGTTTTGGCGAAAACGGGGTCGTCCTCGCGATATACCCCGACGCGTCTAGCAAAGATGCCCCTGTTCCCCCTGACCTTCCCTTCACGTCCCCTAAGCGTGATTGTGGTTTCCGGCCCATGTTTTTCAATCGAAACATCCGGACACACGAAGCTGCTTCTTCTACATGTAGTCGGTTTAATGTAAGAAATTATTTGTACTATCCTTTTTCTTTATTTGTTTAAGTATGGTACTAATATATTATTGGAATCTCGTTGTGTAGAACCATGAGAGGTGCTTTTTCTTTTCAAAGGATCGATGGTGCGTAAAAAGTTTGATCGTAGGTACCTCTTTTTTCGACGATTGGTTTAGAGGGAGACATCCACGTGATCACTTCAAGCGGTGGGTTCCACCCCCCCTAACCCTCCGGCAATGACGGCTAAGGAGAAGCACCTAGCCACCGTTAGATTTACTCGAGGAACCTCCTCTCATGCGATTGCGGAGATCGAGCTGTGATAAACCCTGAGAATACGTTGGAGTTTGTGTGTCCAAACAAGCATGAAGTAAGTGCAAAGTGTATGTGTTAAAATCTTGAGCTATATGTGTTTATGTACTTATGTCTCATTATTTAGGTGTATTCAATGGCGAAGTGTCGTTTCAAGGAGTGGTTGTATGGTCCTAAGAACCAATGGCCGGAAGAACCGCGGAGGGTTAAGGAAAAGAAGAAAGAACGTGTAATCTACAAAGCACCTCCTGTCATGTGCGAATGTGGTGTAAAATCCAACTATGGCCTAATCCCTTCGGAGCTTGGAATAGGTCATTATTGCGGCCATATGATTGAGTATGATGAGGTTTGTTATAATTCTGGTAAACATGAAATCATATTTTGTTTGTTTTCCTAATACATATATGATATAAAATTTGTTTTGAACAGAGCACTAGGAAATGCAGTTGGGAATGTTATGATGGTCAAGCTAAGTTCTTGGATGAACTGAAGAAGAGGCAAGTAATTGCACGGAAGAGGGGATATGGACCTGACTACGTCAACCTATTCGTTAAACATCACAAAGAAAAGATGTGTGAGTTTGCTAGATAAGTAGCGGTATTTGTAACCCGATCGATGTTGGGCTTAACAAATGGGGATTGGAGAGGCGAACGACGTTAGAGGAGGAGAGGGCAAGGAATGAGGCAAGGAGGAGACAAGAGTACAGATGCGTCTTGGACGAGCATGTTGCTACATTATGTGCCGATGAGTGCTTGAAAACCTTTTTCCGTTGCTTCGGTTTTAAATGTAATATTATCGAGTTGCTAAATAATTGCATTTTATACATCAAGGGATTGGTTGCAATGCTGGGAACATGCTCGCAGAGGTGGCTCGTGCAAGATATGAGGAGAAGAAGTTAGATGCCCATAGATCACGAAATTGGTCGCACTGCTTCAATCATCGATTGTCTTTGTGTGATGATGGAGACGAGGATGAGGACGACACCGCGCATCGAGTGAGCTCATTGCTTTAGTAGAGGCGGGCATACAGTGCGTAAGGACGATTTACACAGTGCAGACCGAGTGAGCTCATCTCTCTAGCGAGACGGGCATTCAGCGTGGGAGGTCGATGACGACATCGGTAGATCGAAAGAGCTCATCGCCCTAGCGTAGGCGAAGCTTACAGCAGAGAGGATGACGACGCTGCGTTCTTCACTCGAGCCGCAGCGTGTCAGAGATTTAAGCGGAGGCCGCTTACTACAAGCGACAGGCGGTGTGAGAGCAACACGCTTGAGCCTAGCCGCAAAGAATGTGGTTGTAGTAGAGGACCGGTACTCGGATGATGAGTTGCTTACTCAAGACGCGTTTCAGATTAAGGATTTGGAAGTGCATTTGCCCTTTGTCTCATCGCCGACACACTTAGTTATACTATTAATATGTTGTGTAATATGACATAGTATCAATGGTCTTAATATTCCGCTTAATAATACGACTTATTTCTATTTGAACACGTGCTGCAAAAAACAGTTAACGACATACACCAACTGAATAGGTACATTGCATATTCATATTTTATACCTTTCCGGTTCGACGGACGATGGGCGTGGTCAAGGCGAATATCCGGGACTGCGTGGCGCGCGCAACGAGAGGTGGCGCGGGCGGCGTCGCGGGGTGGCCGGCGCCCACGCTTCGAGACCGCTCGACAAGCCACGGAGGCGGGCGAGGCAAGGACAGCGGTGGACGCGTCGACAAGGTGGGAGTGAGGCCGAGGCCGGCGGTGGAGACAAAGGCTACGACGACGGTGGAGGGCGTGGCGGCTCAGCCGCGCAATAACTAACGGCCAACAGCCGCGGGCACGCAGCGGCGCGCTTGGCGCTTTCGAAGGGAGGAAGCGAGGGCGGCAGCGCTGGCTCGGCTACGCCCGTGGCAGCAGCTGCTCGACGGGCGGCCAGGGCGCCGTGAGCTCAGCCTGGCGCGGTGCGGGCTTTCAGCGAGGGAGCGGAGGCGGCAGCCGCTGGCTCGGCCGCCGAGCAAAGAATGGCTCGGACAAGCCCGGCCTTGTATGCTGGCTCGGCGTGGGCTCGACGCAGCAGGCGCGCTGGCTCAAGCCAGCGCTGCATGGCCGCTGGCCGCATGCGCGGTGCGCTGGCCTTGAAGCGCAGCTGGCGCTAAGAAGACGGCGAAGCGGGCCTTCAGCCTGGCGAGGGAGCGGCGGCGGTGTCATGGCGTGGCGCCGCATGAGCAGCGGGCGGCGACGTCTGT